ATTTCTCTCTGCGTCTCCACATTACAACCACATCTTCCGATTTTCTCTATAAATGTTTTTACAACAGATTAAAATGTTTTCAATGGGTCCTACATTGGTAAGTTTGTTTCTCTTTTGATTTTTTTTTTTTTTTTTTTTTTGGAGCAGAATTCATCATATTTTTTGGCATTTTACTCTAATACTACCAGGGAATAAGAGCTGAGATTAGTTCGTCACGAAGTGTCTATTTTTAGAGTTTTTACAGGAATATTTTACTTGTTTTGAAACGGAGTGAGACTGGAGTCAGAAAGACGAATGATACGATTTTTCTATCTACTTATTGAAGGCTTTGTCAAATGTCTGCAAAATATCGAAATATCCAGAGTCAACTGAACATGGTAAAGAGCCAACAGACCAACTCTCTGCCAAATTCAAAACAACCTTCACTGCTGCTGACAAGTCATCAGTATATTAAACAGAACAATAACATTAGAATATTGTATTTTTTATAGCAAAACCACAAACTGTATAAGACATCAAAGACCAAATTATCTTAGAAGAATGTTGAAAATGATCAATTGTAATTCCTTACTGTAGCTCACCAGTATAAAACCTTGGAAGACTTCATCTGAAAGGTTATGGCAGGATGTGCTAAATAATCTGGATCTCAGCCCATCCGTATGACGTGGTGACCTCATTACAGATTACTCTCCCAGACTGAACTAAAAGGTTTTTCCTGTCGTCAGAGGAAACAGCAGATTTTTTGGCAAATCACCAGTGGAACACAAAGCTGAAGGATGAGTAACTTAATAAAGATGTTTCTAATTTTCTCTTTTTATTCCAGTTCTGTTCAGCTGTATCATTTTGATGTTTATAATTTAATGTAATTTCTACAGCACAGCTGGCCTTATTACAGCAGATAGTACAAAGAAGACATTCGTTCTAACGTTCCTCACTTCAGTATTCTCCACCACAGTCAGAAGACTCTTCCAACTCTACTCTATTTGATATTTCCCTGTTAGTATCCAACAATTCAACCCAGGTTATTAGAGACAAAACTATGACCTTCACTTTACATACAAAAAGCTCTAGTCTTTCCAAATAGTATTAGGGAAACTGTCTGCAAATTTGGATACAATACTTTTAATTAACCCATCACTCTCTGACGTACACAGAAGTTCAACAGCTCCTCCTTAATTCTCGGTGACACTTGTACAAGAACAGTACAGTCTGGCTGCCTCTTCATCTGCAATAATACGCCAAGACAGCTACAAATAACATTACACAAATAGAAAATGCAAGCGGTGCCCCCTACCTGTGATCGCGAGGAGATCAAGAAGATGACCTTATGTCATTTCATTATACTTTTTTACAAACATAATGCCTTCACGTTGATAACCAAAGCCTCAGTAACTACAGCTACATTCTCCACATAGTCAAGTAGGTGACTCTCTGGATGATCCAGACTCAGATGTTTTATTCTACACAAGTGTAGACGGTCAGAGAGACAGACCTTTTCTGGACAGACACCTGTGGGCCGGAGACACACAAATATAAAAATGACACAAAAATAAAACTTTGGTCTAATTTATTATTCAATGCTCCTTTTTGAATTGTGGGCCACCAGTTGATGATCACAGTCTAACATTTAATTAACTTATATTTGCAAATAAACTACAGGTAATGCAAACGATTGTATATGGATTAACTTTTGTCCCCATGATCAGGGGGGTCAAACTCATCCTGGTTCAGGGGCCACATACAGCCTGATTAGATGTCAACTGGGCCGGACCAGTACAATCGTAACATAATTACCTATAAATAACAATAAGTACTTTTTTTTTCCTCTTCGTTTTCATGCAAAGAAGTACAAGTATATTAGAAATATTCATGTTTAAAAATATATCATTTGAAAAAACTGCATGGACATGAAGTATTTGTGCTTTTTTTTAAATTTCATAGTTCATCAAGCGGGCCAGATTGAACCCCATGGCAGGCCGATTTTGGCCCGAGGGCCATATGTTTGACAACCCTGCCCTAGATGGTGACAAAATGACAGCATTCCAAACAAGCATCTCTCTCTCCCAGTTCTCCTCCGCCCTGCGAGCTAAATGTTGGCAGAGTGGTGGTTCTGTTCTATCTAATTGAGAAGATAAAGTACGTGTTCAGGGACTCTCTGATAGGTTTTATTGGCATTGGAAGGCCTCGATTAAATATGTGAAACAACTTCCCACCTGTCTGCTGGGAGGAGTCGTGCGTCGACAGTATCTGTCAGACATAAGTAGTGCACAAACACAGCACACAGAATACTGTAAGCAGGTAAAGCAGGTTAAAACCAGCACAGAGACCAAAGTAAGGCAGTGTAGACGTGGACTTCAACAGTAATCACAGCTGAAGTAATCACAGTACACTGAGCACAGTTCTGACAGTGCACAGACCAGAGAACTGGTCAAAACTGGATGGGAAAATCTCACCTATAGGGTTTAGATTTTTTGTTTTACGTTCTTTGATCAGTCACTCTATGAAACCTAACTCTTTTCAGTCAACATTACTCCAATAATTTGTCAAAATGTATCAAATTTTGAGATTGAGAATCAAATATTTCTATTAGTGGTTTCACAACAGGCTACTGTCTGGATGAGTGTGCCAGTCAGAAGTGCATTTCTCACCAGTTTTCTCACACATGTAGGAAGACTTTTCACCGTTAAGATAATACTGAAAAAGCTTATGTGGGCAGGTCTTTCTTCTGCCAATTTTTTACATTTCAGAAAGTCTATAAAGTACTGAAAATCTTGGCTACTGGTGAAAAAAGTACATTTGATTTTCTCCCACGTACAGTATGTACAGTAGTACATGTTCAGTTGTCTTTGATGTGAAACTACTAGCAGATGAACAAAAGGTTGTTAGGACAGAGATTTATCTGTCTGGGTGTGTGGGTGTTGAGACAAAGGTGTGAATTTCACTGGGAAGAAGAAAAGCGTAAAACTGCCTTTCTACTCTGGCTTGCAGATAGGGCAGAAAGTTAACTGAAAATGATGGAGATGTGTGTGTGTAAATGGTGTGTTTGTCTTTAATTGTTGACATGCGGTGGACTGGCAAAAGTCCGAGTGCTGTCTGAACCTGAGATGTGGGAGGATAAAGTGTGAAGACTAGATGGATCCATTCATCATGCCAACTCTTCCCGGGGTCCTACTCAATCATCCAGCCACCCAGACAGTGGCTCGGAGCACAGCACCACACGCTGATTTCTTAAGAGCCTCAGAAGGAGGAAAAAGAGCTGCAACAGGTAATAATCATCGCAGGAAAGAGAGAGAAACAACAAACAGGCTCATGGGAAGTTCCACTGGGTTCAGACCGACATCAGAGCATCAGCACCGCTGCTGCCTTCTACCCCAACAATGACACTGGACTCAGGTGCACAATCATTTCAATTTCAAGTTCTGGCTCCATGTGTCCATGAGAATTTTTTTGTTTTGACCTCTTTGTCCAACCGTATTTATAGACCAACCCTTAAAGATCATGTATTCTCCAGGTTAGCGTACACACACGGACAGAAACGAGTAAAATGTAAAAATCGAGCGTCAGAGGCTTTTTTTAAAGAGCAAATTTCAAATGTAGTATATTATAATAGTTATAACAGCGAGTGATTGATTCGATCAACCTCCCAAATACCATCAAAAACTGTTCTTCATGAAGATGTCTCAGTGGATTCCCTTAAGGATTTCTTTGAAAAATTAAGATGTCAATAGTGCGGATGGATTTCAATTTGAAGGAAAAAGAAAAAGTCTTTGACATCTTTTAACCATTATCTTTCAAAACCATCACACCATTCTTTTAATTTGTGAATCACAAGGCTTCAAAAAGGAAAACTTTGTGATATGAAACCTGTTTCAGGGAACCTGGTAAATGGCAGCAAAATGATCCATGAGAATAAATGGCAGACAGTGTGTTTTATGGCATAAGTTGTGTCATTTGAATGGATGGGCAGAATATTTTTTATAACTTTCAAAGTGGGGTGGTTTCAGATGAAGACCTTCGTAGGATGATGTTACCAACTCACTATAACTACTGCAAGTAGCGTAGTAACTTTACACTACCTGATGAATCAATAACCAGTATGGTTAACTGACTAATGGATTCTAACTGGGTATAAAAGGAGGATTTACCAAAAGCTTTTTATTTAGTTTTTTTACTAGATAATTGTCTCTCAAGATTCTTCAAATCTTGAGAAAAAACAAACTCTATTGCTTTAGAAACCATTTCGTTGCAATAGAAAATCACAATCATTCAACGCTGCTGCATAAAACGTTTTAATAAATATTTTTAAAGTGCAACATCCATCCTAGAAATGCAGCAGTGGAGTTAGCTACCTCGATGTTTCCTGTAATAACAGGATAAAACAGCCATAAAACTTAGAAAAAACAGTAACTGTTTGGATGAAGTAAACCCCCGCACGGGTCGGTAACGCAGCAAAACAAATAAAACGAGACCATTTCAGAAGATGTATTCAGCTCGCATATCGTTTCTATGATTTTCTTTTTTTTGTGTGTGTTCCCAAATGCCACAATTAATCAAAAGTTTATGTGTTCCAAATGCCACAATTAATCAAAAGTTTACATCTGCATCCATCCAGAATGACTTAGAGTCCCTGCCATGAAAGATGGATGAGTGTATGAAGGAGAAAAACCGTCATGCATTTAGAATACCTTGTGCTGCTCAGGGCGGGTCCACGATGCCTGCAAAGGACAGAGAGAACAGAACAAAAAGACACAGCCAAAGCAAATCTTAGAGAGTAATCCTTATCCAACACTTTGAATATATGCATACTGCATGCAAGTCTAGTATTCGCAGTTTAATATTAATGTTTCTTAGAGGTACAACTGAATATAGTTTTGTAGCCATTATTATTTAATCTCCATTCTCTAATTGCACACACAACAAACTAAGACAACAGCTTACAGATAAGAAGGTCGTTTGTTTACCAGACACACGTTACTGAAGAGGCAGAGATGTAGTGCCCACTTTGGCCAACGTACAGCAATTATTGACCCCTTAAACACTAAGAGGAGGATAAGGGTTCCTGTGTCGATGTTCACCAGCAGAGACAGAGGAACTGGCAACTTGGTAAGTAGAATTTTAACGTTGAAACTTTGAAAATACTTTGAACTATGAATATAGTGACCCTGTTTACAGGCATGGCGCAAAAAGTTGAGCATTTTGGCTTAGGTATTGGATCAATTTTTTTTTCAATTTTTGATCCTGAAATTTTGACCAATATCAGACCAATACTGATCCTGAGTATCGGACAGAGCCATCCCTAAGTAAGATAAGTCCATTAAAAACTTCCACTTCAAGCTCACTTTTTTGTAATACATGCACCACAAAGGTTGACCATGGAGACGCCACCTCAAAGTCCAACCAGTCAGCTGCAGTCTTACTGGAGCTGTATCCAGTTGTGTCATGCTACGTTAGCGGCCTGCTGCAGGCTAGCCCTGGAGTAGCAATTCGTTTAACAACTGAGGTTTAAACAAGTAGCGTAAGTTTAATGTCCATGCTGAGTTTAACTGCTCTGAGTGGATAGACCCAGAGTATGTTTACCGATGGCACACGCTTTTAGTCCTCAGATGTTTGATGCACAGGAACCCATTTTCATTTAGTACCTCATTCCTTTCTCAAAGCACTTTATTATCAAGGTTAGTGAGATGAAGCGAGAACCTGTAAGATTTTGTGAAAAATCTCTCACATCTAGCTGTAATGACAATAAAATTTAACACAAGGAACTCGAAACAGGACAAAATAATTGTAATCGGTTCTTCTCTGATGGCTATTCCAAATCCTGTTATTTGCTTTCAACCTCCTACTGCACTGACAAATCAGTAAATATAAACGCAGGTCCCAAGGGAGTTAATGGTCAGGAATATGCTGTACATCTGGGACATGGAGCTTTTCACCAGATGTATCATCTAACAGGGTCAGAATTCAATCATAGGAAACAGAGAGAAACTCCTTAATTTAATCATTTATAACTAACTAGCATGCTTCCTAATACACCTAATTACTAATATTTTTTGAATAAACACCCTTATCACTTAGTTGTTCTTAGCAAATGAACATGATAAGATCAGATAAAAAAAATAATCGGAGTAGCACATCACATTACACCTCTGATCATATTCACAGTGAATGTGACAACATGCAATGTCAGGTTAAATTACAAACAGTGAGAAGCCCACCTCCAGAGCATGCTCTATAGATTTCATGAAGCCGAGTCACATTTGTTAAGCATGCGGTGTAATGACGGCCTACACGGTGGAAGACTACTGAAGCATTACAGCAGAATGACAAACAGCAATTTCATCAGGCGCAACAACGAGAAAACTGTAAAGAAAGCAATCGGCTGGAATAATTGAAAGAGCCAACATCAAAGCCCTGCTTTATTTTCCTGTAATCAATACTGCAGGCTAATAAACCCAAAACATGAGGTGTACCTGAGTTCAACTGGCTGATTCCACTGACAGCTGTTTACTGCTAAAATAATCATCTGTAGGGAAGCTACCAGAATGAGAAGCTACTGTTCACCACACGTTTGGATGTTATTTACCTCCATAAACCCACAGACTATGTCATTACTGTACAAGCGGCAGTTGACCGCACATCAGTGCTGTACTGCAACAAAGTGGTAGCCCAATTAAAACTGGCAACCTAATGGTCTGAAGCAGACACACACACTCTATGCATGTGGTGTGCAGCCACTGCAGGACATCAGCTAACAACTGTCAGTGAGGAGGCGAATCAGAGACAGCTTAATGCAAGACTAATAAACTTAATTACAGATAAAAGCACTACTCGAGGACGTCGTGTCTACGTGTGTATATAATGACCGACCATTTTCTTTATGGAGGACATTTCAGTTAAAACCAACCCTCCTTTATCCCTTGCCTTTTCCGTTATGAATTACTCCTCACCAACTGGTCCTGTCTGACTCACACAAATCACTAACATCCTTTATAAACTATATCCACAATCTCTCCTCCACTTCCACTTGACAATCTCCACAGACATCACCCTGTCTTTAAGACAGATCCAGATTCCTCTGTCACGGCTACTCACGACTCACATTCTGAAAACAGTCACTTTCAGTCTTCCATCAACTCTTCCACATTACAGCAGCCACCGCTACACCCTCACATACATATAGGTTCCTGCCTAAACATACTGTATGTCCCCGCTGACCACAAATATCATTTTTACAACCATGACAGAACTCCTCATTTACCTTCAGACATGAATTCATCAAGTGTAGCTACCTAAGCTAAAAAAAAACACTTGTTGCTTGTTTTCCTTTCCGCGCTGTTAAACCTAGACATAAGGTTAGAACATGTCTGTCCACAGCAGGATCCTCTGGGGCAGACTGAGAAGCAGAGTAGAGAAACAGAAAACTCACCACTGGTACAGGGAGGCTGACCCTTGACATTGGTCAGCCCCTCTCTCTATCAGCAATCACCCTGGCAATTCTTATTGCCCAGAGTGTGAAAGGGTTGTCAGGGGGGAGAGAGTTGGTCTTTAATAATGTTATAAAGTGTGGAGGAAGTCATCGTAGAGGGCTGTACGTCTCACAGGAGGTGGACAGTGGTGTAGGTGTGATCCGTAGTCTTTGGTCACAGAGCGCTTTGTAAAGAAGATTTATGTGGTTGAGTCTATACTTTGTTTTTAAGGTAAGAACTTAACAAGGAGATGACTCAAGATCAGGGTGAGAAATGTGGTCAGAATAACTGGGTGATCAAGCATCAGGAAGTCAGATATAAACCAAAAAATGTCCAAGGAAAAACAGCGCAGATGTCGTGTGTAGAAAACAGAGTAGATCACAGGAATAGCACTGGCTCGATTATTCCAGGCGACGAAGACAAACCGGGACAAAAGGTAAAGGACACGATGGTAACAGAAACACACAGAGGGTGGGGAAACTAAGACGACATAGATGGAACACAGCCAACAGGAGAGTGGATAATCACAGAGGAGGGTAACACACGAGGACGAGCTGAGGAGAGGCACACGGGGTGAGAGTCAAGAATAAGAAATCAAATGTAGACAAGTCTAAAACCTGGGCCTGGAAAACCACTAATTCTGAGTGGTCTGGCAACCGAACGGGGACATCATGCCTCCAGCATATGTGCTGCTGTAAATGAAGAGCTCTTTTGTGTTAAGAGAAACAGTCCTATCTGTCTTTGTGTGGTGTCGTGTCATAAATGGCTGCCTGTGTCAATTGCTTTGCATCACTGGAACAAACCATTCACCTCAGCAATTTAGTCCCAAAAGTAATTCTTGATATTCTTTGTCCTTGTGTCCAAATGTTTTATTCGACTTTTCATTCACAGGGAGACGGTCGACACCGCTGTCAAGTATTAATTACAGCTCTTTTTGTCTTTTAGAGCTTAACTTTTAACCTCACTTTAAGATGGAATTATTTCATTTAACTGCTGGCTTCAGTTCTGTTGATCAAAAATACGCTGCCGTTTGTGAGGCTGTGAATGAAAGAGACAGGGACTATTTATCCTTTGGTTTATTTATATTGCCTTAAATATATTTAGCTGACATTTGTCAAGTTAAAGTTTCTGAACAGACAGTTACAGTATCTTAGTTGCTCAAAGTTTGTTTATAACTCTGCTCTCCTGGACTGTCAGAACACAGAACACAGAAGACAGGAGTCTAGCTGCTCTTTGACATTATTTATAACTAACGCTGCTCTCCTGGACTGTCAAAAACACAGAAGACACAGGAGTCTAGCTGCTCTTTGACATTAGATTTCCTCTACGGAAGTGGTTTGATAAAAAAAAAAAAAGTTCTTGTTTTCTACAAAATAAAAATCATCAACAGACCAAAGGTTCTAAATAACTACAAACAAACATCCAGTGCTGCTACCATCTCAAACACACTTCATGGGACTTCACTGACAAATGTCCTCAAACTATACGCAAACGTTGTCTCACTGGTCCACGCCCAGTACTGATGAAACACAGCTGTTGTGGTGATGGAGACAAATGGTCAAACAAAGCAAAATGACAGTCTGGTGAAGTCCAACCATGCAGTCAGTGGACTGTAGCACCATCATCTACAGTGATGAAGACTCCTTATTACTGTAGGTGCAACTGACAAGACACAACAGCTAAACGCAAAACACACCACCTGGATGGCTACACGTCACATGACCACTGTGCTGTAGTCCATCAGCTAAACTGGTTTATGGCCTCAGTCGGCCCCCTGGTGATACTGGCTGAGGCAGTTTTATTGGAAATTGAATGTAAAACTGTCTCGCTGTCTCTCCGAAGATTTTAATATTGATTTGTCTTGTCTGTGACAGCTCTTATTCATCCGTGTTGTAGAAGGAAACGCTGGGATGTAAATCTGCTCAAGTTGTTTCACACCACATCACAGAAACCTTTTTAGTTTTTTGCTGAATTAAGTGAAACTCTTGGTATTTATCCTCTGTGGACAAAAACTGATTAGTTAAGCAATTCTGACCTGAGTTTCAGGTGCTGGATGGATTCTGGGAATTTACAACGTTTTAATATGTGCTTCCTAGTGTGGTTGGTGTAAGTTTTGAGTTTCTATAAAGAAAGCTACAGGATAACCTAAGGTTATCTTCATTCAGTTTCCTGTAACCATTTGTCTGCTCTTGCTAGCCAGGGTTCAGCCAAAGGGGAGGTTTGTTTCCACACCCAATTAGTTCTCTGAAATGTTAACCTGCACAAAATAGTGCTTTAAAACAACAGAGCCCTTGTTTGATGTGACTGTGTGAGTGTAAACAATCAGAGGTTAGTAAAACGCTGTTAGTTAAGACAGTGACAGACCTGAGTCCTTCAGACAAAGCTGTGGAACTTCACCTGTAGCATGAGGTATGATGAAGCATACATAGCAGCTTAGCTCCATACTCAGCTTCTCCATTGACTCTGAGAGCACAAAATCTCACACAGCCAATCACCATCAGGGTCACCGACCTTACTGCTGGAGCTTCATCCAAACATCAGAGCCACTTCCTGAACTTCAACCCTGACATCTAACTGGAACATAGCAATGGGAGTAACTGTCTTCAGGCTAGTTTTATTCTGTTTCTGTTAACATTACAAAATGACCTAACACAGCAGCTCCTTGGTGTACGACCCTATGGCATTTCAAGGTTACGTCATCATTTACCATAAATTTATTAAGAAGGTCCAGACCTACCTACCAACTAAAATCAAGGCTGAACATCACCGGCTCGGTTTTCATTTGCTGGTTGTGCCCTACACATTGACTTGTGCTACACTGGGGTTGTTTCTTTGGGAGCTATTTTTCCTTCATGGCGTAAAATAAATTCTTCTGATGTTTTTATCTGCTAGATTATGATGTCATCACTGTGTTAGCGTGGGTGAGTGACACGGGCTCTTATGCACAGAATGTGAGTTATTATTAAAGTGAACATGTTGCACTGCATCATGATTTTACAATGTTACACGTTAAAGCTGGATTAACATGTACATGATACAGATGTCGACCCAAGGTCTTTCCCTTGTGTCAACAATTGTCCCTTAATAGTATGTGTGATTTGTATAAGTGTTATTAGTGTAATGTGGTACAAACAGCAGTAGCTGTCCCAGATTTTACTATATTTACCATAATACTATAATATGGAGAAATTACACAAGCTAAAAATGAGACCATCTGCCCGACAAAAGTATTTCACTCCAGTCTTTGGTGGCAGCTACTGATGAGTTTTTCTACACTCATCACCTTTAATGTCTTCTTTATCAACTGCTGCAGCTCTAACAGCTAGTTTAGGGGAAGCAGTTTTTGAAAAAATATGCTACTTCTCATCTACACGTGACCATAGAGAGGGACTGAGGAACAAACTGTTACTAGGCCTTCATGTGTGCTACATGTGGGCGTCCAGTGTTATAGAGGAGAAAAAAAAACAGATATAAGAGTTGTTCATGACAGGCTTCATCTGGCGGTGGAGTGGTTTGCGCTTGTGAGGGTGCACTCAAAATCTATTTCTCAATATCAAACACCCAGTCCTGTGGGTGGGTGTGGAATTCTCCTTCTCACAGAGCACGGCACCCACAGACTCTATGTAATAGTTGTATTCATTTCCTCCATATACTACTGCCAATATTTCATGTTCATATCAGCTGTTGGACAAAGGTGTTGGATAATCAAGAGATGGATTTGAGGCGAAATCATTAACACCCATTTGTGCAGACGATGCTGATTAGTACATGTTGGACAATCGACGGAAATAAGAAAATGAGTCAAAAAAATGACTGAATTAGAATTGGTTCTCAGCAACCACATGGTTTGACATGGTTTGGTGACAGTGACACAAATGATGTTTTTCACTGTTGTGATGCTCAACAGTTGGATCAGATCTCATGAGAGCCAAAAACACACACATACACACTCGATACCATGAGATCACAGTGTTACAGTGTGCTACAGGCAGACAGCATGCAATAGTTGAACTCATTGAATTAAGAAGTTCTTAGTGATTGGAGGAAACAGCTGGAAAGTGCCTCAACAGAGGAGTAATTCTATTTGAAGTGGAGGTAGACTTTACTACACTAGCACGTTTAGATGCCACACAGATTTCATACCTGATAGATCCTGTTGTGATGTGCCTGTAAAGAAGAACATTTTACGCATGTAATGGATTTACTCCAGAATTACACCACAGTCTACAGCATTTCCCTGTCATTACCTGTCAGGTGCAGCAGGACACAGAGGATTTAAAAACCAAACCATGTAGGCGGTGGATGTATGAGCTCATCAATCAAGAGCTGATTGATTTCAATGGCTTGCACGTGATTGAATGCAAGAAAAGGTATGGGAGGACTGTCAATGTAATGGAAGTTAATCTCATGACCCTCAGGGTCTCTGCAGGAAATGAAAATGGTTGGCATTAAATTAATAAGAATTTATGAACACATTTTGAAACTGCTTTGGTATTCTCAATACCAATCATAAAAATGAACGTATTAAACTTTAATGTCTTCAGTTTACGGCTGTAATAAGCTGGTGCACAGTGATACTAAAGGAACAAAACGTTGACCACAACAGAAGCACTGGCTGACCACATCTGGTCCTACATCATACAGGTGCCCTTCAATCTCTGTGCCACTGTGACCAGCTCCTCCTGGTGGTGTTCTCATGTCACTGACTTTCTGAGGCACCGTTTTTTGCAACCCTTTCCTGTTTGAATTGTTGCATTTTTGCATGAATGTCATACCAATGACACAACAATAGAATTTTATATTAGTATTTTTACTTATTAAAATGTGTTGAGACTACAGTAAAAGACTTAAAGTGGCTTATACAATAAGAACCTTTGAAAACCTCACCAGAGCAGATTGATTTTTGTGATTTGTTTTCCATTGTCTGATGACCTTTATTGTAACTGTTTGGAACATGGCAGATAGTTAATAGTAACTTATTAACTCCCTAACTTATTCATAACATAGAAGTAACTGCAGAAGGCATACAAGAGTAAGTAAGAGTGTAAAGAACCACCAGGGCTCACCTTCACCCAGTGCAATTCCAGGTCAAATTCAAAAGATGGCAGCACAATATTCAGTTCAGAAATGTCAACAATGAAACTCTGACACCAGTAAGTACTGCTACCAAAATGATAGTTGTTAAAATGTGTTACAATCATATAAAATTCTAACAACATCATAAAACAATTTAATCTGATGATTTAGTAAATTGAATGAAATAATTGGGTTCTTCGTTCTGCTTTGTTTGATGGAAAAAAAAGAAAAGGAAAAATCACTGAGCGACAGTGGAGTCAGTGGAGAATCAACGATCCCAGTCTCAATGAACTTGATAAAAGAAAACCACTGGCCTGACTCAACTACCAGGTCAGGGCAGACTAACCAGAAGTCGACTGTTTCCATTTTTTGAGACATGGTTGTATCAACATGTGTTAGCTCTTGTTACAGCTTTTATACTGCAGCTTTGTGTCATATGGAGATCCTTGTAATCCAAACCACCAGACCTTGTGTGGTGTCTGGCAAATGGGCCAGGTTACATGTTACTGCGAACAATAGAAAGACCTTTGGTCCTTTTGTGTTGCCTGTATCTCTAGTTGTCAAATTATTTTTACAACTTTGTTTCCGCGGCTCTCAGTCGTAGCTACAGTCTTTAAGGTCTCTTTATGAAGCACGTGTGAAGTGGATAGAATTCAAGTAATTCGCCTGGGACCCAGACAGTATCAGTCCACTTTATGCACAGAATGGTTCATTAACTCCAAAATGAAATTAAAAAACATTTCAACAATGCAGTGGACCTCCAGGATTCACACTGAGTGCACAGGAATTAGTTAATTAACGGTGACTATCCTTTATTATTTTACCTGCTCTCCTTCAATGAAAACGTGTTCGCCGTCGCTCCAGTTGATGGAGGGCGTCGGATCTCCGGAGGCTTCGCACGTCAGAGTCACCTGCTCCTCCATCTCTGATGCACTTTGATTCACGATGTAGGTAATCCTGGGTTTAACTGCACGACAGAAACACGTGATTAGCATATTCACAACATCGACAGCCGAGCAGATGGTGACATGGTTTGATGACACAAACACACAGAGAAAACGGAAAGAGAAACTTTGACAAACTTTACTTCAGTCCAGGAATTTGTAACTGTTTCATTTCTGTTTATATTGTTGGACAGTGTTAGTTAACCTGTGTGGCAGGGTGCTATGAAAAGGGTACAGGACAACCAACAGGAGCTGCTCTTCATAAGCCTGAGGACGTGTGCTTCTGTGCTGGAATTATTGTGATTTTTAACAAAAGAATTAATTAAGTTTCCTCAAAATAAAAGCCTTTTCAATTTTCCTTAATTAATTTACAAAATGAAGCCACAGGAGCAACTCAAATCTGGTCCAAAAGCTAATCCCAACCGGTGAGAAAAATGGCAGCAGTCGGAGATCTATCTTGTCACACAGCTCTTAAAATGGAAATGAATAAAAATAAATTATTGTTGTTGAATTTAGAAGCAGTGGTGTCACAGAGCGGCAGCAGCTTAATGGACTGTATTGTTCTCCATCCCTTTCTCTACTATTACCAATACCACTATAAGATTATTGGAACAGGCGCAAAGAAAGGAACAATAGCCAGAGCCTCCATTATTGGTATCAGTGAGTGAAGTGTTTTGCTGAAGAACAATTGTGCAGAAAATCGTCGTCTGTCAGCTCAGTCTTAACTTATTTTGTAGGAGAGACAAACTCAAAGCTCCTTCCTAATCCAGTCACTGACAAATGACAAGTGCACTTTATGTCTAAGACGGAATTATATTCCACCTAAAACTCAAGTAAAGGCCATTCTGGAAACACATTTCCAGGTACATTATCACATTCCACACAAATAACTACCTTCAATTATACTGTATAGGATTTCTATTATAGTCACAAGATTAGAAAAAAGCAGAAAGGCATGTAAAAAAAAACAATGGTCGAGGTACCTGAAGCAGGGAGCTAAAAAAAAATCAGTTAATCAATATGTGGGGAGGGGAATAGTCGGTGATCCACAAGCTACATAACATATGTAGGCTGCACACTGAGGCTTTAGTTTCAACAGAGCTGCATGAACAGAAATGAAACCAAAACACATGGAAAATAAGCACCACTATGCACAGAAAACCAGATAGAAGTTGAACACAGGACTGTGTAATATATATATAGTATTGTCTGACAGTGAGTTGTAATTGAAACATATTTATACATATTATAAATATATATATATATACTGTATAAGACAAATGCAGTATTTTACTGTACGTGTTCTGTGGTCAGTGGATCACTTTGATGATGGTGTCACTGTGCTAAACCCCATTTCATATTGACCTTTTGACCTCACAGACGCGTGTGTCTCTCATTGGTGCAAATGCTCAGATATGTCACACAAGTGATTCTATACTTGGTCAAACCTTCGCACTTTACACTCTGATATCTCTACTCTGATTATTCCATCTGTCTGTGATCGCTGTGGCCGAACCTTCGCACTTTACACTCTGACTTATTCCATCTGTCTGTGATCGCTGTGGTTTTTTTGCTTGCTAACAGCACGCATAGTACTAGCTTCCCCTTACAGAAGAGATTCTAAATCTCAGTGCAATAGTTCCTGGTAAATTAAGGTTGAATCTAAAATGACTGAGGACATAAATTGTCATTTTTAAAACCATATGGTTAATATTCCAAGTATGTTAATAAAACATGTCTTCTCACCGAACACTCTGAGGCTTAACTCCTGCTCACTTTCTCCAGCCTTATTCCTGGCGATGCAGGTGTACTCCCCCTCGTCCAGCTTGGTAACATCCATTATTGTCATTTCAGAGCCGTCTTCATTGAAGCTGTACTTCTCTCCTGCCTCCAGAACCACGTCAGTCCTGAGGTAGAAAAAGAAGAGACACCAAACATTAATTTTACCAAATTGCTTTGCGACAAAGCTACATTTCCTTTAACAGATTAACTGCTGTTGAGAAAAAGTATTACTTCTAACCATCATAGCCTTTGAAATGTGTTGTATTTTTTGATGTATCACAATTTGGAAAAACAGGAGCAGATGATAAAGTAGGTCTGTGGTAATGAAAACAGAGAAATTGATTTTCAGTAACAGAATGACATTTTCTTTATTCCCCGGCATCTCGGTCAAGACATCTGGTGTTAAATGGCCATTTAGAACAAATGTTTTTTCTGTAGTGCAGTCTCAAGTGTTTCTTGCCACCAAGGCTGCCACAAGTACAAAGCAGAGTATGTTCTTGACCCCTGACTTTCTTTGATTTTTTGTTTTGTCTTCCAAATTCACTGTGCACCGTGACAGGATAACAACATGACCAGCAGAGGCGCCGAGGTTCACGCACCGATATGACCCACTAATCTGTCTACAAAGCTAACAACTGTCCTGGAAACAGGCTGAAAAGAACTAGCATCACAAAGGCTGGGCATATCAATGCCTGCATTCAGACACGCACTATACAATATGGCTCTCTGTGTCACTGTGCTCTTCAGGTTTCACCAATTACACACATGCCTCTCCCAGTTTGTGAGGAAGTGTCCAGTTGCAATGAATAAAGCTGTTAGCAGAGGTCCAATAGAAACAGTTCAGTGTTGAACTGGCCCTGAGTCCAAACCCAGACCTGATGTTGGTCCCAATGTATTTACATCAGACATTCAGTCGCAGAGAGAGTACCCAGAGATTCGTATCCATTGTTAACAAACACCATGCTACAAATGAATGACGGCCCTGTGTTCACCAGTTCAAAGAACAACATAATTGTCACAGTGAAATCTTAGCCTGTAACCCAGTAATAAATCTGCATTAATAAGAAATGAACCTCGAACAAAACAAGCCTTTAACAGCAGTTATGCAATGCTATATTCAAATGCCAGAGATAAGGGTTGTGTGACTGAACAACTCCAATAATGTTGTAATAAAAAATATGTATGTATATAAACATATATACACAGGTTTATATATGTGCTTTCTAATTTCTAACCATATACTTTAATCCACATGTAATATGAAATTATATATAAATGTATTTACATATATACATATACAGTATATATATTCTCATTTCATAATACCACTTCCACAGATCCTTTAAGGGACGTTCTCAGTATATCTGTAGTTTCCCAGCCTTCACAATGGAATCACAGTAAACCTGTCACAGTTGAAGCACGGTCTAACAACATCCCGTCCCTCGGGGGCATCAGGAAAGGGCAACCCTCCATCAATCTCCCCTAATCTGTGGAGATTAGAGGCTGCACACCCCGACTACACTTGGATTCTGCCTCTCAGGTTGAGTTATGTTACTGCAAGTGCAGATTGTGCCGCAGTGTTACCGAATTAAGTATTGCTCTGTTGTCTTCATGTGTTTGTGTGTCTTGTCATTTTTTAAACACTTGTCAAAGGGCGCCCCCAGTGGCAGCCTGGTACAGCAGCTCTGACTGACTTCAGGGATTTTTTTTTTCTTTCTGCTCTCTTTGACTTTCTCTCTTCTTTCTGAACGCTCAAACATGGACAACATGGCCCCATTCAGTACGATCCTTTATTACCCCAGATCTTACCACTTACCACAACACAGCACACTGAGAGACCCTAGTGGAGAAGGAGACATGGGTAAGCTGACAATCTGTCTCCTCCCCTTAACTCTTGGCACAGAAGAGTTTTTCTTCTGTGCATCTCTCCAACTTGACAACTAGAGCTGTTTTCGATGACAGTTGTTTGTCTCACTACAAATGGGGAAAAACAGTCTTGAAGGCTAACGCAGGATTTGGACTGTTATGGACTGGTGCCAAGAAAATCACCTGCGGATCAGACAGGAAAAACTCCCATTCAAAAAACCTAACATCCAACACCAGTGTGCATTCAGGGAGGAGACACTGAGATGGTCACATCCCATAGCTCTCTGGGTATTCACTTCAATAATGAAGAAGACTGGACTGATCATGTCACTGCCCTGTACAGGCAGGGGGCAGAGTAGAGTGTGTTGCTGAGGTGACGGAGGTCTTCTGAGGTCACAGGTCTTTTTCATGGGTCGTTGTTTCGCAGCGACTTCTGCCGCGTTGAACCTTAATCTTACGTTGAGTTGAAACGACTCGTGTTAAATATATTGTATAATAACAAACAGTTCTGCTGCACTTTACAAATGGCTAACAACATACACAGTACCTTTCAACAATTCTACATGCAGTATGTATTAGGGCCGCCAATTAATGTATATTTTATCTGTAGATTTATCTTTTTTTATCTTAATTTCACACAGCTGTAGACTTGTTTACAGCCCCTTAGTGAGAGTGGTCTGAGGCAAGCTGGTTGTCTGACCTAAAGTCAGCATCCACAAATGCATGCTGGAAGTTGTGACGTTATTTAAAGCTACTGCAGTGTGTGAATAATAATGCGTGTATCAACTGTGAATAACATCAAGCGTAAGTTGATGGATGGTGGAATAACTGGATATACTGCCACTATGGGGCAGTAGAATGCAGAGTAGTTGCAGAAGTATGTTAAACATCTTAGTTTTGAAAACAGTAGTTTAGTGACTCTAGATTGAAATCTGTGGGAACTCGCGGTGTCACTGTGGCTGCAGCTCCTCCGCCCACAAAGGGAGAATGTCTGCGCTGTAAAGAGTGGAATCCTTCTACACCCATATTTAGTGGTAGTAATGTGTCCAGAGACACAGCTGCATTACCAGATCCAGATGAGTGACATAATGTGTCATTCATACCGTCAGACCTCAGCGTTACAATCAGAGCTATTCTTCAGTAAAAGCAGGAATTTCTAGTTGATGCCTCATGGAACCTCACGGTCCAATCAATGGACTGTAGTGTAACCACAGCTCGCATGTCATGTCCTCTCCCCTGGTAGAACTCTGGAAGTACACTGTAGCTTTTCTACTGTAAATAAGAATCCTCCATAGGGCAGGGCATTAAAAACATCAAAAATATTTCTTTGTTATGGTTAAATATCAGAACACTCACTATACACACAGCAAGAAACAAACAACCACAGGAGAATATTGGAAAACTGAGTGAGTAGGTGACTATAAGAGGATTGTGGAGTCACAAGTCAATCAGACGTGAACGGTATTAAAAAGTGTGAGTTGGTTTCTATTTATGGATTCAGGTAAGAGCACAGAGTGTCAAAACATAGACGAGCTTCAAAACTGTTTAAAGCAATGATTTCTATGACATGATGTCTGTGTTAATTATTTAATTTTTTCTTTTATTATCCATTCTGTTGCCTTATGTTCATCTCTGTTATATAAGGTCCAGGTTTTAGAACAGATGGATGAGGAAATCATGAAGCTGTCTCCCTAAATATTGGTTAATTTACATAACTAATGCTAACTTGTTTATTCTACCTTTTGTTATAAAATCAGTTTCTAGGTTTTCTTTAGTTTGTTTGTTTGTTTTCAGCTTTGGATGAACGATTTGCTAATTAATGTGTCCTTTACTGTATATCCAGGTTGTTTTTCTGCTTTACCTCATACATGATCATATACATAATAATTAGGGCTGTTCAAATTAACACAGTGTTATAACAATTTAAATTATTCAGATTGAAAGAATGTCAACTAATGTTTTACACAAGGGCAGTGACATCTAATAATTCAACCGTGTATTCACTTATCGTGGAGGAGGCTCATAATTCTGTTTTTGCACCAGGTCTCAATCAACTGTAAATGTTAATAAATGTGTTTGTTCTTCCTTCTGAAAATGCTTTAGTAGTTACAGCTACATTGCAAAAACAATGTTGGACCCTAAATGATTCATATCCTAAATGAGACATAATTTAACACACACGTAGTTCAGCGGCAGCATACTGTCTTAATCCAACCAATCAGCTTCCTCCTCTTTGAATGTTTCCATCAAAGGATCACTACGCCGACGATAACACCAGTGGCTGCCGTGTTCTTTCTCTTCACCACAATGAATCTCCCTCTCTAATAAATCCTGCCTCTCTTTTTTTGGTCTATGTATAAACAGCCACGTCGTCTGTCTTTCTGACGGTGCCGCTGTCTTAAAGACACACGTCCCACTCAGCCTCAGTGTAAAAAACGGACCGCTGCAGCCGAAGCCTGAAGCATTAATCTGTACAGTTGTTAGCAGACCTTTACCTTGTCCATGTCACCATGGGTTCAGGGAAGCCATCTACAGCACAAGTCAGCATGGCCGGCTGCCCAACATCTGCTGTGGCATTCACCTCTGACTGCCATACCCTGATGGTCGGGAGAACTAAGTCAGGGAGAAAGACAGACAGTGAGATAAACAAGAATCACACCCAGACTTTCTCTGCGAGCACATTCACAAATAGATAAATAAACAGCTGGAAAATAAGGATTCAGCAACAACAAATTTAGACCATTTATTTTAGGCACGTTTATGTGCTGCGCTCAGACATTGTAGGAAACAGACTTCATTAGCATGAAACATCTACCAGAGGCCGTCGCTCTGAGCAACCGTGTCCAGACTGATGTCAAACTTAGCTGCATCTAAAACTCTCTACTGTTCTAGTAACTACAGAACAAACAAAACTTTACACCAGAAACAGAAACAGCAAACGTATGTGTGGGCAGCCTACCGTTGACGATAACTTTAATGACCCTCAGATCAATTTCACCACGTGACATTAGGCGAGCCTCACAGGTGTACGGGCCCTCATCTGTCTTCTTGATTCCTCGAATTTGGAAGTGATTGTTGCTCAGCACCTTGAAGCGTACTGCAAGGAGGAGAACAAAAAAAGGTCAGAAAATGGACAAAAGTGTGATACCATGTCAGGAGGATTACTGATGATAAACTGCAGCTGGTGGAAAAGTCAGACTCAATTCACCTGCCAATAAACCAGGGTTAGTTCTAAGAGTTTTGATGACAAGATTTGGATGAAGAGAAGAAGCAGGCTTTGACCTTATGTAAAAAAACAGATCCCCAAAAAGAGGAATCATCCAAAGACATTTTTGCTCATTAACTCATAACTGTTTTTTCAAGAGGAATCAGAGGAATCATCTTTTTTTTGCTCATTAACTCATAACTGTTTTAGCAGTAATTATCAATTAGAAAATGATCCGTTGATTTCTGATTCTGATTTTTGAATAGAAACTAAAGAGTTCAATTCAACATTTTTTGGTTTTTAAATTGTCCTTTCAAAAAGTAGCTAAAGTATTTCTTCTTCTTTTTAAGCAGATGGTTTTATGATTCTTTTTATAAATAATTCAAATCTATTGAGTTGCACTGACAAGGTATTCATTTGTCCTGCGTTTGAAACCTTCTATTTCCACATCTCATCTATTTTTATTTCCTCCTCCAACTGTCACATCGGTCACACTCAGTAGCTTTCTTCTCTCTTTGACTTTTAGTTTATGCTTGTTTTTTGGTTGTTTTCTTGTGTCTCACCGCTCGTCTTTTTGTTCATGCTCCCTAATCCTCCTCTTCCTGCCTCCTGTGTCTCCCTCCACAGTGATTACCTTACCCTCTCACCTGTGTCTTGTTAACTCCTCCCCTGTTCCTGCCTCTTGTTTTCTTTCCTCTGCCTTTTGTCTTTTCTCCACAGTAACAGTGGTCCTAGTTAAGTGTTGGTGTACCTGATTTAACACAATTCAAAGACATAGGGGGAGTTTTTTTGCCTCGATGACTATTTTAAGTAGCTTCTTTGTCATAACCAGTTTGGCACCAAGTGAACAGAAAACAATGGTTAAAACACTCCAGGAAAGTTACTGACTAAAAAGAGAAATCCTCACCATCCTTTTCAATTTGTATTTTTGCCCCTTTGAATTTCCAGAGAACTGTTGGAGGAGGGAAACTGGTGAAGTCACAAATAATGTTGGCAGTGTCGCCTTCGTTGAACTCCTGAGGCGAAGGCACATTTGTAAATGTGATTCTTTCTGTTGAAAAAAAGGAGAAAAAAGAACACAGGTTAAACTCACAGATTTATCTTTTAAAGCTGTTTGAAGGGCTGCTATGTTATAAGAGTATGTTTCACATTACCCTACATGCAAAGGTGGTGTGACCATAGTCACCCAGTCATTTAGTTAAACCACATCACGTTCAGTAAAACTACAATATGTTTTTGTAAGAAAAATATATAATTATTAAAGAGGAACAAATACAGTAGATATGAAGTTGATATTAACATGCCTATCAACCACTTGTGTAACAATCACTAATGTGACGTCCAATGCACAAAAACATAGAAAAATTCCTGTTTTTTTTCCTTCATGTTTTGCAGTCCCAACTTTCCCAGGAAGTAGTAGATGTAAAATTTTGGTCGATAATTGTCTTCAGTTTCTCTGTAGGTGCATGAAAACTTGCTGTCTCCCCCTGGGCGTACGCAAAAAAAAAATGCCTGATGACTGTGTGAGTCACAGCCACAGCCAGAGCAGTGGTCCAGAAAAATAGACTTCAAGCAATCACACCCACTTAGCCAGCACTTCTTTTTTCATAGTCATGATTTGCTGGCATCATTTGCATTATTGGCCTGACCCCATCAAAGCCCCCACCCTTACAAATCTGCTTGTATTTTCCACAGCACTTTTTTTAGGGAGGCTATGAAAAATGGATCCAGACAATCTGGGGCAGCCCTGAGGGCTGGGGCATTATGGTAGAGTTCTCAAGTTGACAAGTTTGTGCTTTGAGAAATGTGTAAGGTTATCATAAAAATCACTTCTAAATTAATCAAGTTGTTGAAAAATAAATAAGCACTACAGTACTGCAATACAGTACTGCAGTACAGTACAGAACAATATGTGATAAAACAAATCCAAACGGATTATCAAGCACTCCTCTAACAGTTTATTGAACTGATAGAAAACCCTCCTCACCTGAAGAGTTGAAAAAAGTTGATTCCAGTCCTAATATTTGTCAAATTAACGTATGAAAAACTTACGAAAAATTTTCACTTTGACAGTTGCCTCTCCTTGTTGGTCCCCGTTGGTGGCAGCACATTTATATGTCCCAGCATTTTCATTCCTGGCTCCGTACAGAGTCAGGGTGGACGATGACTCATCGTTGCGGGTCACAGTTATGTCTGGCCTGTAGGGTTCAATCTTATCTCCACTGGGTCCAAACCAGTCTATGTGCTTGGCCACACCTTCAACTGTGAGCAGAGTGAAGAGCATAAGAAAACAAACCTTCACTGTGGGCTTTTTGTACAAATACTTATAACCTGCAGTGTTACTTTTTTTTTTTAAATAACGTAAATAATGTCTGTTACACTCAAACAATTCTCTATACGTATGTATGTATGTGTTTATATACATATATAGCCGTTAAAAGTCCAAATCTTGATGCACAGTTGACCTAGAGTCCAAATGTCTTTGACTCTAACAATGAAACTAATAGCACCATTGTCACTGTTCTATCATTTCACTTAGTTTTCATTTCCGTCCGTGTAAAACACTCTGTCTTTGAAACCCGGTCTATTTATACACCTGCCTCGCCATTGACTGCCAGAAATATCTTAGAATATTGACTTCATTTTGATGTAAAAACACCAAGCACCCAAGGTCACAGAGCTGATGAGTTTAGGGATGGATGCTTCTTTGTTACAGCTGATGTGTGAGTTCAAAGGGTCTCTGGATCCTGGGTAATTACTCACAGGTGTCTTTTCTGACTAACATGCAGTAAACCTTCTCCATCTAAAAGTACCGCTCCTCTCTATTTCATCTACATCCCCGGCTCTCCCTTCATGGACTCTGTGTTATTTTCAAGGTGCACAAATTATTTCCACAGCCGTGATACACGTAATAATTTGCACAATTCACACCTTCCGTGATGCAACCTGCTCAGCACATATCAAAATATGATGTCATTAACATATGGCCGACAGACATATTTAGAGTAGTTTACGTATCTTTAATGCTAAATATACTGGAAGTATTTCGACTGAAGCGCTGCTTAATTCATCCTTTAATAGACAACATTTATAACAATTGTATGTATAATTTGTATGGTGTAATGCAGTAACTTTAATGAAAGTAGTGAAGTAGGAAATAATGTAATTTCGTATGAATAATATGTTGGAAAATGTTATGGAAAAAAAACATTTTAAAGAATTGGATGGATGATGGGTTGTCATGTACGAGCATCGCAGGGAGCAGGCAGGACCCAAATGCAGTACTGGAGAGTGTCATGATTTTAACTGGTAATGACCCAAATGCAGGCTCAGACGACGTTACGTGAACAAACAAGGATTTATTTTCTAAGTTAACTTCAATAGAAATCACAAGGAACAATAGTTCAAGTCAATCTGGACGTGAGCAACCACGGTGTCTGAACAAGAGTGCCAGCGGCACCCAGTCCTCTGGTGGATTCAGGGTCTCCAGTGGTTCCAGCGCTCACTTACCCGGAGGTTCCTGAGGCTCTTACCTCTCCGGTGATGCCGGAGGCGACGGTGGCCACACCTCCGGTGGTGCCGGAGGAGACGGCGGCCATACCTCCAGTGGTGCCGGAGGCGACGGTGGCCACCGCTCCGGGGGGTCCTGGGGGGGCGGGGGGCCCAGG